GGGGGGGGGGGGGGGGGGGGGGGGGTTGTAGGCTCAGGTTTAGGATTTAATTTAGGGCTTAGGGTTTAGGGTTAGGGGTTTAGGGGTTAACGGTTAGGGATGAAAGCAAGCTAGCCCTAAACCCTAAACCCAAACCCCCAAGCCCTGAGCCCTAAACCCGCCCATGCTGCGACCCGAGACCCCCAAACTGCCAAAACCCTACGCCTCCACACCCTGAAGCTGTAAACTTGGGATGTCCTTAGAAAGGGATTTTATCATCCCTATCAAGGACAGCTAGTACAAAGGGGGAACTCTAAACCATGAAGCCCCTCAACCAAAAACTTAAAAAAGCTGATCCCTCAACCCTAAACCCCCCAGAATCCCCAGAGACCAAAACCTCAAACCTTATACGCTTCATGGGCACTTAGATATCCCGGAATTTAACTTTTTGGGCTTCGGGCTTAGGGCTCAGGGTTTAGGGCGCTGGGGCTAGGGTCCCAGCACTTCAAACCCCCAAGCACAGAGCCCAAACTGACTTGCTCAAGTGCCGCCCTCAACCTTAAACCCTAAACCCTAAACCCTAAACCCTAAACCCTAAACCCTAAACCCGAAGCCTGGGTCCCTGTGCCCTCCCCCAGTGGGCTTCCTGGCCTGTTGCAGCCATTGAGACCCAGTAGACCTGGGCTCTTTCGAAGGTTTAGGGTTTAGGGTTTATGGGTTAGACTTGAGAGTACGGTTTAGGGCTTTGGGGTTAGCTCTGTAGGGTTTGGAGTAGAGTTTAGAGCGCGAGTGTAGGGTTGCCCTAAACCGGTTTGAGGGTGTAGAACTTAGGGCGAATGGAGAAGTGTGGGTCTATAGGGGTTTCGGATGCACCGTCTGCAAACCCTGAAACACCCGTAGGGAGGAGAACCCTAAACCCCAAACCCTAAACCGGAGAAATCTACGCCCTAAACCCTAAACCCTAAACCCTAAACCCTAAACCCTAAACCCTAAACCCTGAACCCTAAACCCTAAACCCTAAACCCTAAACCCTAAACCCATAAGGGGGTGCGGGCTTGGATTCCTTCAAACTCGGGCTCAAGAGCCCTGGGGTTTAGGGTTTAGGGTTTAGGGTTTAGGGTTTAGGGTTTAGGGTTTAGGGTTTAGGGCTTAAGGTTTAGGGTTTAGGGTTTAGGGTTTAGGGTTTAGGGTTTAGGGTTTAGGGTTTAGGGTTTAGGGTTTAGGGTTTAGGGTTTAGGGTTTAGGGTTTAGGGCTCAGTTTTTGCTGGACTTGTAGGTCCCAGGTTTAAGGTTTAGGGCTTTCGGGGGGTGGTTCGCTGATTCGTTCATGAGAGCTGGCAGGGTCTGACCCTGAACCCTAAACCCTAAACCCTAAACCCTAAACCCTAGACCCTAGACCCTAAACCCTAAACCCTAAGGGTTGGCGGGGGCTCAGGCTCGAGTGGTTTAGATGTTTAGGGCTTTGAGTTTCTTCTCGAAAGGCCTTTGGGTTAGGGTTTAGGGTTTAGGGTTTAGGGTTTAGGGTTTAGGGTTTAGGGTTTAGGGTTTAGGGTTTAGGGTTTAGGGTTTAGGGTTTAGGCTTTAGGGTTTAGGGTTTAGGGTTTAGGGTGTAGGGTGTACGGTTTAGGATTTAGGGTTTAGGGTTTAGGGTTCAGGGTTTTTGTTCCGGCTTTGGGGCTTTCAGGGCTTTGGGAGTTTAGGACTTTGGGGTTTAGCTTTAGGGCTTGGGGGGTACACCACCCCTATAAGCCCCAAACCCAAGAATTCCAGGGCTCTCGTGCGGCTGGTACGGAACTTACGCAGTTGGGTCCAGAAGCCCCTAGTGCGAAAGGTTTAGGATTTCGGGTTTAGGGAAGACTCTTGGGGTTTGGGGGTTCGTGTTTGGGGAAATGCCAGGCAAGCGGCATCCAGAGTAGACGTAGGCTTTGTGGCAGCCTGGGCTGAGGGCCGGCTCGGTGTTTAGGGTTTAGGGTTTAGGGTTTAGGGTTTCGGGTTTAGGGTTTAGGGTTTAGGGTTTAGGGTTTAGGGTTTAGGGTTCCTAAGCCCTAAACCCCAAACCCTAAATCCTACATTTGGGATGTCCCCCTTATACTAACAGTCCTTAATAGGGATTCTAGTACGCCCAATTGGAATCCCTAGTAAGGACTGTTAGTATGAGGGGGAACATCCCAACCC